AAAGTACGCACCCGCCAGGCCAAGGGGAACGAGCGTGGAGACGCAGGCCGTCACGATCGGACTCAATGTTCCCATCCTCCACCTCGCGCAGGGTCCCTTCCCTCTCCTCCCCTGCCAGAACACCATCGAGACTGAGCACCACTCCACAAGCCACCTTGGCTTCCTGCTGGCAAACTCTTGGACGTCAAAACGAGTCAGAAGACGGCATCGGAACCTCGAGCGATGGCCAGGCAGGCCTCTTCATCGCACTCGACTCACCTGAAGGGATTCTTGCCCTCCCTTCTTTCCTCGCCGTCCTCTTCCCGGTCGCTTGCGGGCTTGGCCTTGTCCCCTGTGAAAAAGCAAAAGCAGAAGAGAAAGCGTGTCACGTGACAGAGGGAGAGGCCACACCGTACGCGTGCGCGTGATGCCTGGATTGGTGAGGACTCGCTCCCTTCTGATTCACCAGAGCAACGATACGATTGCTGCCACTTGACTTAATGCTTGACCTTCTTGGTGTGGGTGGGTTGCAGAGTTTCCATGGGATGAGGGGACGACGAGGGAGGGCTTGGGGACTGTCGTCGTCGCGTGCGTCTGTACCTTGACTTGTAATGTGTACAACAAACAAACGAGCGAGAGAACGAATGAAGGAGCAGACGGGCAGAAGCTCTGCTGCCCTTTCCCTGCCGTCGTCGTCGTCGTTCGAATAATGGCGTGATGGGGAAGGACCCCTCTCTTTCAACCGTCGTCCAATAATCCAATAAAATGGGGGCGTTCACTTGACGAGGAGCTGGTAGAACCCGTCGCTCGCTCTCAGGATCTGCTTCACCTTGTGCATCGCCAGGAAGATTCTGGCGCACAGCAACGGGGGAAGCTTCTCGTAGCACTTTGCGATACCCTCCTTGTATACCTTGACCGCCCCCTCCATGGTCTCGATCATCAGGGCGGAGGTGTCCTCGGCGGACGTCGCCAGGACGGACTCCACGTGGGACCGGACGCTCGCGTCCCGGTGCCTCTCCACGAAGGCGTAGGGCAGGTGGAACCCGACCTCGAACTTGCAGACGAGCTCCGTCTCCTGCTTCTTCAGGTCCTCCCGGAACTTGTGCATCAGCATGATCTGGTCGAAGGGGATGGGCTCCTCCAGGTTGATCAAGTCGTATGCCTGGACGAAGAGGGCGTAGAGGCTGGCCTCCCCCATCAGGCACAGGCTCCTCTCCGCGTAACCCAGGTAAGACATGTTGAAGATGCACATGACGGACTCCGAGCGCACGTGCAAGTCGGGCTGGAGGACGGCCGCCGGGTCCCTCTTCCGGGGCAGGAGGGGCAGCTGGCCCGCGAGCTTCTTCCTCGTGCTCAGCTGGGCGTCCTTGATCGCGAGCTCGGCCTTGACGAACGAGTCCAGGAGCGGGCCCACCTCCTGCTCCTTCTGCTGGGCGGTCTTGCCCTTGTCCCCGACGATGTCGTCCAGGGACTTCATGAGCACGGTGATGATGTCCATGGGGTTCTCGGACTGGAACATCACGGCCCTCACCTGCTGGGCCTCCTGGCTGTGCAGCACGGCATCCTGCACTTGGGTGTTCTTCCCCTCCCCTTGGAGGACTCGGGTGACCACCCGGGAGGCGCGCTTCACGTGGTCCCCCGCGTTGCTCGCGATCTGCCCCGAGACGTCCACGTTGTTCACGTCCAGCGGCTTGCTCACTGTTGAGGAGGCCCCCGCGGGGGGCCGGAGCAGGGCGGCCTTGATGGCGGCCAGGGGGTCTTGGGTCTGCTCCGACCCCGGGGACGCGTCGGCGGCCATCGTCCTCGGCCTCTTCGCCGCCGTCCCGAGGGTGGGCTCCTCCTCCTCGGCCGCCCCTTCGCCGTCGGCGACGTTACAAAAGTCCTCCACGTTCCTCCTCAGGGCCTTGTTCTCCGTGAGCAGCGCCGCGTTCCTCTCCTTGGCCCTCCCCAAGTCCTCCACCAGCAGCTTGATCTCCTTGTACAGGGATTCGGACTGGTTCTCCAGGACGTTCTTCTTCCTCTTCTTCCGCTGGTACTGGAACCAGGCCTTGCACTGCAGGTGGGTCAGGCCCGCCCTCGCGGCGATGCTCCTCAGGGACTTGGCCGTGGGGTTCGGGTTCTCCCCGTAGCACTCTTTCAGGATGGCCAGGTGGTGGTCGCTGAACTTCTTCGAGGACGTCGACGACGTCGAGGGCAGGGTCCCCATCGACGAGGTCGCCATCGAGGGCAGGGTCCCCATCGACGAGGTCGTCGTCGTCGTCGTTGTTGTCGTTGTGGTGGTGGTGGTCGGGTCCGCCGCAGCAGCGGCGGCGGCGGAGTCCTCTGACTTTTTGGAAGAAAGCGCCATGGTCGTCGGCACCATGCCCGATGTTCGTTTGTTCTTTCTTCTTCTTTCTTCTTTCTTCTTGGTTGGTTGGGGCGACGACCGTTACACCAGCAGCAGCAGCAAGCAGCAGCAGCAAGGAAAGACGGGCGTCGTCTTCGGAGGCCAAAGGGTCCCTTGGTGATTGCCGTCCGAGTCGAGCGGATACCGGCGCGAAGGGGCCAAAGGCCAGCAGTAACGGCCCTCTCAAGCAGTAACGGCCCTCTCAAGCAGTAACCCTACCCTACCCACCGTCGTCTTTCGTCGTGTGGTGCGCGCGAGCGCTCCCGCCGGAAAAAGCAAAGCCGTCGAAGAGAGAGACGAGAGAAGAGGAAGAGGAAGAGGAAGTTGTCGTCGTCTTCGAAGGGTCCCGGGACCAGGGTCTCTTTCGCGGTCCGGTCGTCGTCGTCGTCGTCGCCGCCCCCGAACAAGTGTTGAGGTTTCGACCACAGCAAATAACGTTCGACATCAAAAATTTTTGATTTTGATCCAATTCCGGAAAAACCTATCATGAATTGGATTTTGATTGGAAGGGGGGAGAACGAAACGGCTTTCAGCAGGGAAAAACTGGACTTGGGAGGCAAAGGCGAGGCGAGGCAAGGCGAGGCGAGGGAGCAAACAAGACGAGGGATTGCCGGTCCCCGTCTTGCTGAGGGGACAGGGCAGAGGGAGGGAGCAAACAAGACGAGGGATTGCCAAGAAAAAGGATGAGGATGGTCAAGAGCTAGAGCTACTATGCTATGACCAGCACAGAAGCAGGCCAGAACGGGTGATTCTGGCTCGAGGTAGACCAAGCACGGGTCGAAGCTGGCAGCTCGGGCACATCTCCGCGGCTTCCTTCTTCCAGGTCTTGTTGCCTCTCCCACTGGAGCAGTTCAGGTTCTTCGTTGGCAGCAGCAGATTGATACGGCCCGAGCTCACGATCACGAAGTGAATCAAGTGTTGATGATGGTCCGGGGCGCTGAGGCTGGTCAAGAGTTTGGTGGACCCATGGGGTGGCAGCTCCGAGTTGTGTTGGCTCTCGTGAAGGCGCTGCAACTTTCTCCTCGCGGCGGACTATGCGTGAGTGAGGTCATGATACGTCCCGATTGATTGAGACGCCGCCACAGATGTGGAATTGGACTTTGGACAACCCGTTTGTTTCTGCGTGAGACGCTGAGACTGAGACGCCCGTTCGGTGTGTGTGTGTGTGTGTGTGTGTGTTTGAGACCGCGTCTGTGGAAGGATGAGTCCATGAGTCCATGAAAAGGAAAAAGGCAAGCGTGTGCCGTCTCCTCCTCATACTCCTCATACTCCTCATACTCCTTTGTGTCCAATCGGGAAGCCCTCGCCGTCATCACACGTCCATCGAGGGAAGGATTCTCGTCTCCATCAGGGTACGATCAGGTAGGCCTTCACGAGGACTCGAGGGACGCATGCAGCATCGTGACACCCTTTGGACGGTACCGACCCTTGATCCTTCCTCAAGAGACAGTCCAGCAATATTCTCGATCATCCTCGATCAGAGTACCACCAAAGGCACGTTAATGAATTGTCTTTCTTGTTGTTTTTCTTGTTGTGTTGTGTCCTGTTTTGTGATGTGCCCTTCTCTCTGGCCTCTCTGGCCTCTCTGGCCTCTCTCTCTCCCTTGAGATGACCACCCCTTTGGCGGCCAGCAGGGCTTCAAAATGTAACGGACGCCGAGTGATCAGGAAGAAGACGGCTCGCATGCTTTTGACGTTGAGGCACTATGCGCTCAGAACGTACTTGGCTTCCAAGGTGCTCTTGTGCGGCAAGGAGCTGGCGATCGTGACGGAGGAGTACACCTCCAAGACCTGTGGCAGGTGCGGACACATCAAGGAGAACCTGGGTGGAGCAAAGGTTTGCAAGTGCCAGGAGTGTGGCTTCAAGTGCGATCGGGATGCGAACGGGGCACGCAACATCCTTCTCAAGCACTTGTGTGAACCACAAGAAGTGCAACTCCTCAGGGTTGCACACGCGTTTGTTAGTACGAGCTGCCCTTGCTTGCTAAGGGTGGAATGGTCCTTTCGAGAAACTCAAACTGAAACGACCTTTGCACAAAACTAACGGGTAGAGATCCGGCCGTGGGAGGAGGACATAGACCGCAGCAAATTGCCTGCGAGCTGAACCATACCAGCCATACCAGCTGCTGCTTCACTATGCCCCATATTGCTCTCCACTCCAGACATGTGGACAGGGAAGTCCCGTTTGGTGGCCTCGGAGAGTAACACAGCAGATGCCGCACCGACCTCAATGGGGCCACCAAGAGGAGTACCTGTACCGTGCATCTGCAAGACCTGTGCACTCCAGGCATCAAGGTCTGCCGAGTGCAAGCTCATACGCATCACTTGCTGTTGAGAGGGTCCGTGCGGTGCGGTCAAAGCACTGGATCGCCCATCTTGGTTCACAGCAGTGCCACGTAGCATCACCGTATCTTGTTTGGAACCATCTTCAAGAGGACCGAGAACGCAAGCGATGCATATTGTGTATATAGTCCCTTCGAGACGTCGCCAAGAACAAGGCTCATGTAGGACATGTGTGCTGCGACAAGAGAGGATGAACAAAAAAAAAGAGGTCGGAAGTGTATCACGGGTCGGAGTTTCCCGTGTCATTTTGAACCATGGTTGGAGAGCAACTTGTGTTCGTTGCTGCCGAGATGTGCCTTCGGCGGGGATCGAACCCGCGACCTTAGGATGACCCTTCGATCATTTTTCGATTTGATAGTTGTATTATGAGACCTACGCGCTACCGACTGCGCCACGAAGACGTTTTCCTTGTTGTTTCAAGGGTGTGCACGAGTAGGAAATGACATTTTGGACAACTTTGCGGAGACCTTGAAGGCAGACCTGGAGGAGACAAAGAGAGCCAAGGCCAATGAGGCTTCCGCCAAGTGCAACAGAAACGGAGGCGCGCCGCTTGTGGTGCGAGGGATGCTGAAGCTCGTCCGCGTCGCCGTCGCTGGCGTCCTACCGTTGTTTCTGGCAAAAGAAGCGTTTCGAGTGAGCCAAAACTCGGGTTCGTAGCACTTTGTTCTACTAGGTGACGAGGCCGACGCGCAACGCGTTGTGTCTGAGTGGCTCACTTGAGTAGCTCTAGCTCTTGATCATCCTCATCCTTTTTCTTGGCAATCCCTCGTCTTGTTTGCTCCCTCCGTATCAATCTGCTGCTGCCAACGAAGAACCTGAACTGCTCCAGTGGGAGAGGCAACAAGACCTGGAAGAAGGAAGCCGCGGAGATGTGCCCGAGCTGCCAGCTTCGACCCGTGCTTGGTCTACCTCGAGCCAGAATCACCCGTTCTGGCCTGCTTCTGTGCTGGTCATAGCATAGTAGCTCTAGCTCTTGATCATCCTCATCCTTTTTCTTGGCAATCCCTCGTCTTGTTTGCTCCCTCCCTCTGCCCTGTCCCCTCAGCAAGACGGGGACCGGCAATCCCTCGTCTTGTTTGCTCCCTCGCCTCGCCTTGCCTCGCCTCGCCTTTGCCTCCCAAGTCCAGTTTTTCCCTGCTGAAAGCCGTTTCGTTCTCCCCCCTTCCAATCAAAATCCAATTCATGATGAACAATTCATGAGCTGGGCGAAGACTTTGTGCATGAGATGCGATCGATGCTGGCCAAGGAGGAGGAAGACTTTTACTCGAGCTGCGTGGCCTGCGTGGACCAGGCCCTCGCCCTCTACGAGTCGAGGGAGTGGGACCATTCGAGAACGGATGCTTTCCTGAGGACGATCGAGAGGGGCGTGAGGAGGAGGACGACGGAGCTCGCTGTCGCAGCGCAAGTGAAGGAGGTCTCGGTGGAGGCGGAGGCGGACAATGCCCTGTGGTTCCCGAAGAAGGGCGATAGGGTCAAGCTGAAGAGGCTTGGCGGGACGAAGGCCACCGTCGTCGGCTTCAACAAGACGAATCAGACGGTCACCGTCCGGAAGGGAACGATAACAATGACGTGCACGCTGGGTGATCTCAGCAGATGAAGAAGCCGGTGCGATGATGGATGTTGGATGATGGATCCTCTCTCTCTCCCCTCCCTCCTCTGTCTGATCAAAAGAAGCCTGATCATCTGTCTCTCTACTAAAGGGTAACTGAAGCAAAAGAAGCCAAATCATCATCCAAGCAAAGTAACCGATGCATCTCCTCCCTCCTCTCCCTCCTCTGTCTGATCCAAAGAAGCCTGATCATCATCCAAGCAAAGTAACCGATGCATCTCCTCCCTCCTCTCCCTCCTCTCCCTCTGTCTGATCCAAAGAAGCCTGATCATCTTAAGAGAGAGAGAGAGAGAAGGAGGGAGAAGGGAGGACGAGGACGAGGACGAGGGTGGCGGAGGGTTCGACAAAAGGAAGCGTCTCATTACGAGCTTTCCGTGGACCACTCGATTGAAGGATTTGGTGTCCTGTGGAGGATTGGAACCCACGGGAGATGATTGGAGGAAGTGGAAGATGAAGAAGACGCAGTGGTGAGGATGTCGCTGGCTGCTGAGGAGATCTTGGAGCTGAGCGAGCAAGTGTTGCGAAGCTCGAACAAGGTGAAAGGAATCGAAGCGGAGATGGTCACAGCCATTGCTCTCATCGAAAGCAGTGGAAACGTCAAGGCTTATCGGTACGAGGAGCACCTAGGAGAAGCTTCTTCTGGATTAACCCAACTGCTGCAAAGTACGGCGAAGGTAAATGCGATTCTTTCGCTCTTTGATCTCGACGTCATGCGCATCTCCTCTCTCCTCTCTCTCTCTCTCTTTCTCTCTTCTGCCTCTTTTTCTCACACACACACACTTCTGCCTGACCCTCTGCCTGACTCTCTCTCTCTCTCTCTCTCTGTCTCTCTCTCTGATGCATGGACACTTGTCTTGTCTTCTCCTTGCCGCTTGCTGCTTGATGGCTTGGGTCGCACGCACGCGTAACGCACGGCGGACTGGACAAATGGCTCCTCTCCTTCCCTTTTTGGTTTTACTTCCTCCACTTCTCTTGCTCAGTGGCTAGCCGAGGACCTTTCCTATGATGAGTACGAGTTGGACCTCTACCAGCCTGCATCATCCCTGTACTTCTGTGCCGCTTATCTTTGCTGGCTCAAAACATACAAGAGCGTTACCCGGTCGGATGAGTTCGTCGTTCGCGGGTATAACGGTAAGCTTTGCCCTTGTGCATCTTCTTGCAGATGGATCTGGATGGAGCTCTCATTGCTTCCATTGATTTAGGACACCTCCTCACCCATCACTGCGACCTCATGCCTCTTCCTCTCTTCCTTTGGAGCAGGTGGACCCAACGGCGTGAACCTTGAGGCAACGGTGCCGTACTCATGACACGGGTCGAAGCTGGCAGCTCGGGCACATCTCCGCGGCTTCCTTCTTCCAGGTCTTGTTGCCTCTCCCACTGGAGCAGTTCAGGTTCTTCGTTGGCAGCAGCAGATTGATACGGCCCGAGCTCACGATCACGAAGTGAATCAAGTGTTGATGATGGTCCGGGGCGCTGAGGCTGGTCAAGAGTTTGGTGGACCCATGGGGTGGCAGCTCCGAGTTGTGTTGGCTCTCGTGAAGGCGCTGCAACTTTCTCCTCGCGGCGGACTATGCGTGAGTGAGGTCATGATACGTCCCGATTGATTGAGACGCCGCCACAGATGTGGAATTGGACTTTGGACAACCCGTTTGTTTCTGCGTGAGACGCTGAGACTGAGACGCCCGTTCGGTGTGTGTGTGTGTGTGTGTGTGTGTTTGAGACCGCGTCTGTGGAAGGATGAGTCCATGAGTCCATGAAAAGGAAAAAGGCAAGCGTGTGCCGTCTCCTCCTCATACTCCTCATACTCCTCATACTCCTTTGTGTCCAATCGGGAAGCCCTCGCCGTCATCACACGTCCATCGAGGGAAGGATTCTCGTCTCCATCAGGGTACGATCAGGTAGGCCTTCACGAGGACTCGAGGGACGCATGCAGCATCGTGACACCCTTTGGACGGTACCGACCCTTGATCCTTCCTCAAGAGACAGTCCAGCAATATTCTCGATCATCCTCGATCAGAGTACCACCAAAGGCACGTTAATGAATTGTCTTTCTTGTTGTTTTTCTTGTTGTGTTGTGTCCTGTTTTGTGATGTGCCCTTCTCTCTGGCCTCTCTGGCCTCTCTGGCCTCTCTCTCTCCCTTGAGATGACCACCCCTTTGGCGGCCAGCAGGGCTTCAAAATGTAACGGACGCCGAGTGATCAGGAAGAAGACGGCTCGCATGCTTTTGACGTTGAGGCACTATGCGCTCAGAACGTACTTGGCTTCCAAGGTGCTCTTGTGCGGCAAGGAGCTGGCGATCGTGACGGAGGAGTACACCTCCAAGACCTGTGGCAGGTGCGGACACATCAAGGAGAACCTGGGTGGAGCAAAGGTTTGCAAGTGCCAGGAGTGTGGCTTCAAGTGCGATCGGGATGCGAACGGGGCACGCAACATCCTTCTCAAGCACTTGTGTGAACCACAAGAAGTGCAACTCCTCAGGGTTGCACACGCGTTTGTTAGTACGAGCTGCCCTTGCTTGCTAAGGGTGGAATGGTCCTTTCGAGAAACTCAAACTGAAACGACCTTTGCACAAAACTAACGGGTAGAGATCCGGCCGTGGGAGGAGGACATAGACCGCAGCAAATTGCCTGCGAGCTGAACCATACCAGCCATACCAGCTGCTGCTTCACTATGCCCCATATTGCTCTCCACTCCAGACATGTGGACAGGGAAGTCCCGTTTGGTGGCCTCGGAGAGTAACACAGCAGATGCCGCACCGACCTCAATGGGGCCACCAAGAGGAGTACCTGTACCGTGCATCTGCAAGACCTGTGCACTCCAGGCATCAAGGTCTGCCGAGTGCAAGCTCATACGCATCACTTGCTGTTGAGAGGGTCCGTGCGGTGCGGTCAAAGCACTGGATCGCCCATCTTGGTTCACAGCAGTGCCACGTAGCATCACCGTATCTTGTTTGGAACCATCTTCAAGAGGACCGAGAACGCAAGCGATGCATATTGTGTATATAGTCCCTTCGAGACGTCGCCAAGAACAAGGCTCATGTAGGACATGTGTGCTGCGACAAGAGAGGATGAACAAGCCGTATCAACAGCTGCACAAGCTCCTTGCAAACCATATGTGAAGGACAGTCGCCCTGCAGAAACACCCAAAGAACCTGACGTAACCGCATGAGCCTCAGACTTATGGCCATAACCAGCATAGATATTGCTGTATTCAACATGCTGAGTGAGTGTACATGCCCACCATCACACCCATCCTCTGTTTCTGATGCATCCAACTCGAGGAAGAATCGGATTCCATGCTGTGCAGAGCTTCATACGATACCTCGAGAAGAAGACGTTGGTGAGGATCCATCCAACACGCCTCAGAGCGAGATGCCTTGCTCTCGAGCCTCCGTCTTCACCTTTGGCTTGGGGAACGGTGCATCCGCCGCACACCTTGCACCTATGAGTTTGTCACGGACATGAACTGCGAGTATGGCAAGGCTGGTGGCATGGTATCGCAGCAGGAGTGCAGGGATGGGTGCGACGGCCTCACGCGAATCGGATCTTTGTTCACACGCCCGGAATATCGACGGACGAGAGCTTAATCTAATCTGAAAAACGAGACTATCGTACAATCGAAGGACCCATAATTCCCCTCCCTGGAAAAGAAACGTCTTTCGTAGTCCCAGCAGATCGAGAGAGAGAGAGGCCACACCCAGCTCAGCAAGACTTTATCACATGCTGCGTGCCAAGGTCGCGCCTTGCCTCTCCACCGGCGTGAAGGTGTGACCCCTCTCCCTCTCCCCCTCT